TATCATTGCAGTCAGCGGGTGTTGCAGTTGAACAGTCCACAAGTTGTCAAATAAGCTCGCGCATTCATAATAAAAAGTGCTTCACACGGCTCCGGGGGGTGAATAAAGGCCTTCTGTAGTGAATCCATGCGTTTTTGTAAGAAAAATATCCATATTTCATATGTAATAAACACTTTTATATCACTTCCGCCAACTGTCATACGCGGAAGCAGTTCCGGCGGATGACGTAGCATGTCAGCGTTGCGTGATTAGTGACGAATGCGGAGAGACAACAACACAAAACAAAATGCCGGTCACGAATTAGAAGTACAAACCGAAGATTTGCAAAGAAAAATGTCGGAGGATTTCCAAGAGGAGACTGGTTTTCCTTTGCTAAAGGAAACGCTCTGGTTACTATCGTAACCTCGGTTCCCTGAGAGCGGGAACGAGACATCACGGAGATATTTCTCCGTTATGGGAATGAATGGACGCTTGCAAAGCGCTCTGTTGATGGGCCTGAGATCTAGAATCGGGCGGAGTCCCCCGTCTCTTTTGGGTACCACGAAATAGCGGCTGTAAAACCCGCTCTCCAGCTCGCTGGGAGGGACTCGTTCTATCGCTCCTTTTTCGAGCAGACTGCATACCTCTTGTCTCAGAACCAGGGCGTTTCGGGGCAATGTTAGAGACTGCACCACGCCATTGAAACGGGGTGGTCTGCGTCTGAATTGAAGGGTATACCCACGCTCTATCACACCGAGTAGCCAGCGCGAGATTCCCGGAATAACTTCCCACGCGCTCAGGAACTGACATAGCGGCTTTAGCGGCTTGGTCGTTGGATGCGCCGGTGAGTGTGTGGGCGGCGGCTCTGCACTGCTCTGAGGCGGGGCGAGCGGCACCGTATTGACTGAGTGAGGAGGAAATAGCTCTTTTTGTGAGAATGTATGCATTTTTATTGAATGAACATCCAACACACAAACATTTGAAAACATGAACTTGTGGCGCTTGGGAGCCGGGCCGCTCGCGCACTCTCCTCCTCTCTTCAGACCGTCAGGATGACGGCTTAGCCGCTGGCAGCGGGCGAGAGTCACGTCGCGGGCTCCTCCGCTGGCTGTGGCATTTCCTCCCGGGACCCCACGCCTTCCTCCGGAAATCCGGCTCCTGGCGAGGAGCAGTAACGTTAGCCGTCACCGCTGCGGTCGCTGGCCTGGGGTTATCCCTCCGCTGGGAAGAGCCAGGTGCCGACGAGGATCTGGATCTCGCCGTCTGCTGCTGGAAAGCGCGCCTCGGCATCACGTGACTCATGGCTTTGGCGCGCTTTTGAGCCTCCGCGAAGCGCTCAGTAATGGACTCCACGGCGTTACCAAAAAGGCCGGAGGGAGTCACAGGAGCATTCAGCAGCACTTTACGGTCAGCATCCTTGAGGTCAGCTAGGTTTAACCAAAGGTGCCTCTGAAGGACGACCATAAAACCCATTGTCTCGTGAAAGCTCGAGAGGGAACTTTGCTTCCTTTACTCCTATAAACAAACTCGCCAGACTAGCATATCTCGGAGGCGTGCGCGCTGCATCATCCGCCGGTGCTGCTTCCGCATATGACAGTCAGCGGAAGTGAGAGAAAAGTGTTTTTTACGTTTGAAATATTGATATTTTTCTTACAAAAACACATGGATTCACTACAGAAGGCCTTTATTCATGCCCCGGAGCCGTGTGAAGCACGTTTATTATGAATGCGCGCACTTTATTTGACGACTTATGGACTGTTCAACAGCAACACCCGCTGACTGCAATGATAGAGCTTGGAATAGCCAGGACAGTTTTTAATATAACTCCGACTGGATTCGTCTGAAAGAAGAAAGTCATATACACCTAGGATGCTTCGGGGGTGAGTAAAACACAAGCCAATTTACATTTTTGGGTGAACTAACCCTTTAAATCAAGCAGTTTTACAGTATTAAAACATGGAAAACCAGAGTCAGTGTCGCTTTCAGTTAGAATTACTACTTGATTTTCTGTTATAAAGCAGCTCTCCAGTGTGGAGCTAGCTAATGATAAAAACTTTTTATTAGTGGGGAAAAATATTTCATTAAAGTGATACTTTGGTTTGCAGAGATCAGCTTGATCTAGCTCAAGACTGTTTTGATTATCATAACCCTATAAGGTATTTTAAGAGAAATTATGTTGTGAATAAAATAGTTTATCCAAAAATAAAGCGTCTTATCACTTACCTTTATTTTGTTTCTTATCCATATGACTTACAAAAGATGGTAGGCAGAATGATGTAATTCAGTTACGTTTTCATATAATATACAAATGTATTTTTTTTATTTGTATAAATTAATTGTATAATAATTGTAATTACATAAATAGTTTATCCAAAAATAAAACGTCTTATCACGTAACCTTTATTTTGTTTCTTATTCATTTGACTTACAAAAAGAGATTTTAGGCAGAATGATGTGTCATTCGGCTACTTTCTCATATAGCTAATTAAATGGTGAATAAGAGAGTTTCTCTGTCTTCTCATTTTGTGTGCCAAATATATTTATTTGTATAAATTAATTGTATAATAATTGTAATTACATATGACTTTCAAAAGCGGAAGTGATTACTTTTATTTATTTGTTAGAATATGTATAACTTGATATTTTAACTAATTGCAAAAGCTGAATAATCAGTCAAAGTCTACTGATGAATCAGTGGAATAATCGACGATTAATCGTACTAATAATCGGTAGATTAATCGATTATCAAAATAATCGTTTGTTGCAGCGCTACTTCAGTGTCACAAGATCCTTCAGAAATCATTCTAATATGCTGATTTATTATCAGTGCTGGAAACTGTTCTGCTGCTTAATATTTTTTTGGAACCTGTGATACTTTTTTTTAGGATTCTTTGATGAATAAAAAGTTAAAATGAAGAGCATTTATTAAATTAGAAATCTTTTCTAACAATATACACTACCGTTCAAAAGTTTGGGGTCAGTAAATTTTTATTCTTTCTTTTTTTGAAAGAAATTAAAACTTTTATTCAGCAAGGATGTGTTAAATTAAGAAGTGATAGCAAAGATTTATATTTTGAATAAATGCTGTTCTTTTTTAACTTTTTATTCATCAAAGAATCCTGAAAAAAGTATCGCAGTTTCCAAAAAAAATATTTGGCAGCACAACTGTTGCCAACATTGATAATTCTAATAATAAATCAGCATATTAGAATGATTTCATGTGACACTTTACACTGGAGTAATGGCTGATGGATATTCAGCTTTGCATCACAGAAATCAATTATATTTTAAAGGATATTAAAACCGAAACCATTATTTTATATTGTAATAACATTTTGCAAGATTACGTTTTTTTTCTGTGTTTTTGATCAAATAAATGCAACCTTGATGAGCATAAGAGTCTTCTTTAAAAAACATTACAAGTCTTACTGATCCTGATCCCAAACTTTTGAACGGTAGTGTGTGTATATATATATTAAAATTTTTTAGATCTCAATATGTGTAAATGTGTATTTATTTGTTTTTTTTCTTTGTTTTTATTTATTTAGATACATATTTTTTTATTTTTTTTTGCATTTTTATATAAATAAATAACCAACCAGCATTCTGACACCCATCTTTCTCCATTGACTGGCATTTACAAGTATATTTTTCAATATTTTCAATATTTATATCATATAGAATTGTATTTAATATTTATTAAATTCTATCATTGTATTAAAATATTTGTATATTTACAAATTATTTTATAATATTTTATTTTATGATGTTATCTATCTATATATAAATATTTATAAAAATGTAGGTGTTTTATATATATTTGTATTCATTGCTATTTCTTTCTTTATTTCTTTATATATATATTGTTCATTTTATTTTGTTAAACTACACAGACACTTGTAAATGTCCGTTGACTGAGAAAGATGTGTGTCAGAATGCTGTAGTTATGATATTAACTAAGCAGTTAACCAGCAAAAGCATTCTTTCTTGATTGCATTGCTATTTTCTTTGTACTTTATTTTTTGAGCATCTTGCTGTGCAACTTTATGGTTGGTGGAGTAAGATATCGAGTATGAATATCTGGGATCAGACTCTGGCTGGAGCGCAGCATGTGTGTTAGATTGTGAGATGTCACTTCCTGTCTGTCCCGTCAGGCCAATGAGAAGAGTCTGTTGAGTGCGCAGCTGAAAGGATTCCCTCTGTTTCTGCACTCCAACCTGGGCCTGAAGGACTGTACCGTCAACCCCAAATCCCCTCTGCTGCACGTCACACGAGCGCGACAGGTCAGCTCATGCTTTAATGCTCATCCGCTCAAACTTAGCCAAGGCCTGACCCCCAACCTGAGCCTTCATGAGCTCAAGTCCTACGATTTGTTTTCTTGTTTTTCACGTTGTGGTTCAGGGCTTCTGTAGAAGCTTCACTCCCAAATACAGCATTTCTTTTTATGTCTCAGGTGTTTAGCGGTCCTCTGCCCGGGGACGACTGGACTGTCTTCCAGTCCAATCACTCCACCTACGAGCCGGTTCTGCTGGCTAAAACCCGTTCGGCCGAGAGCACTGGACTCATGCACACATCCGTGGTTCAGGATCTCGGGCTTCATGACGGGATTCAGAGGGTTTTGTTTGGACACAACCTCTCCTTCTGGCTACACAAGCTGGTGTTTGTGGACGCGCTGTCCTTCCTCACCGCTAAGAGACTGTCTCTGTCCCTCGAGCGCTTCATACTGGTGGACATCGATGATATATTTGTGGGAAAGGAAGGGACCAGGATGAAGGTGGCAGATGTGAAGGTGTGTTAACCCTCAAAGATCGAGACAGCCTCCCGCGGCTAAAAAATAACTATTGTTCGTAAATGTTTAATAACTTTTGAACCGCTAATCCTATCTGAATGCTTTAAAACGTGTCGTAAAGCAGAGATTCTCCGCTTTTTTGGAGATATAATTTGTCTCATTTGGATATTCAGAGGCTCCGTAGCGTATGTGATTACGTCATCACATTTTGACAACATTGATTCTTCAGAAGAAACCAATGCATTTCGTCCTCTGAGCCAAACAGGAACGATTGTTGACGCTTAGTCCCACCCCGTGACCAGATTGGTTCAAACTGTCACATATTCAACCAATAAACATAGGTTTTGGTCTTTTGAACCATTGTTTAGCAAGTTTCTTTGGAAATCTGAGCAAGTGCAAAGTGAAAGTAAAGTGTGTCTTGCGTGCACGAAAACAAACACACAATAACACATTTGCATGAGAGAACTCTCTGAAAAAGCCCAGAAAAACACAGGACAGAGCACTTTGACCTAAAACAAACCAACAACAAGGATGAAAAAGCGGTACATATCGGATAAAGCACTGGAATTTAGGTATTCATGTCGCTAGGCGATGTCCCGGTAAAATCAATTCTGACGCAGAGTGCAGCCAGCGGATCGAATCATTTGGCTGTTATATTATGTAAATAATAGTTCATAAAGATCATTTGCACTATTTTTTTCTGTTGCACTCTGTATATTTTGTTATTATATAACACGGTTTCCATTTTCTTTACTCCCTAAATGTTTTTGGACAGATCTATATTGTTAGTAAAGTAAATAAACCTGTTTATCACTGAAAAGCTCCTATAACAATATTGTAATAAATGGCTATAACTTGCTTGGGGAATGTTATTTGTAGAGAAAAAATTATTTGGAAGTGTAAAACACCCAGACACAACTTTCTAAAGAAAAAAATCCAAACTTCAGGTGTTTTTGTTTGAGTACACAGTAAAAAAACACCCAATTATTGCTTGTGTTTTTCTTAAAATTCTGGAAATTCGTTAATTCTTAGAGAAACCAAAGGGAAAATTGGGACTTTAAATTAGCTACACTGAAACCTCAAGTGCTCCTGTTTATAATGATATATGGCACTTGATGCTCACTGCTACAATAGGTCTGAAAAAACAAAGAAAAGTACAGGCGTGTCAGGTAGGCGTGTCAGGTGCCCCAAAAATGTTCTAGGTCTTTAAGGGTTAAAGAGATACATCGATTGTTTTTGACGTATTTCCTCTGGGAAAGTAAAGAAACTATGGGAAAATAGAGCTAATGTGATTGGGAAATGTTTTTTTTCATGCAACACAAAAAAAGATATCTGGGAAAATCTCATCAAAACACTTTATATTTCACCTCAAAGGGGAAAAGAAATAAGAAATTATACTTTGTATAAAGAAAATTAAGCCTATTTTGATGACAGTTGAACATATTTACCCTCCAAATTCTCATGACTGTGATGCGTCCAGGTATTTTACACTCATTATTACAGTAATTGGAATCTAATGAGAATCATCATTGAAAATTATTAGTCGTTTTCGCTGTTTGAAGCTTACTGTCCCGAACTTTGTCAGCTGAAACCCTTTGAGTGATGTTTTCTTGAAATCCCCCTGAGATTTTAAGTTAAAATTTCAAAATAATTTAACAAAACATTTGCATGTTCGCAGTTCTCTGATGTCGGTCAATGGTCACATGACATGGAGGAAAACAAGTCAAATATTTCATATTTTTTAAACATTAATAATATATATATACTGTATATATGTAATTTATTTGACATTAAAGTAATAAATAATATAAATAAGAAATTATTTTATAGAAGTTTTATAGAAGAAGAAATTATTATTTAATTTATTTACTTTTGTATGCAACCGTAATGACAATCAGTGATGGATTTACCATGAAAATAATGCCACAATACAAGATTAACATCATTAACTTGATTTTAAAATCAGTGGAAGACAATGCAATTCAATGTAATGTCCTCACTAAGATAGTAAAACCAACTTTTGTGTGTGTGTGTAAGTCTGATTGTGTGTTTGTTCACTGCAGGAAAGCTAAGTTTAATGAAATGGTTTTATTCACTTGCCACATAAACATGCTGTTTGTAGTTGTGAGTGTGTTTGATGTGTGTAGATGAGTGTGATGAAGCTCGGAGTAAATACAGTCATTTGAATCATGCAAACAAACATCTGATGAAGAACGCAAACCACAGGAAATAAAATAAAGACTTCAGACTGAGAGATGAGATGTCAGACACATCTGATGAAATGATGGATTCAGCTTTGAGTGTGTGTGTTTTCTGTAGTTTATCTTCAGAAGTGAGAGGAATCTAACAAACTTTCCTTCACAGACGCTTTCTGATGTCTACATTTGTAGACATCAGATGTGTAGACGTGTGAATATCTTGAATAATGTGTGGATCTTCTCAGGCGTTGGTTGAAACTCAGAATGAGCTGCGCAGATCGATTCCAGATTTCACCTTTAACCTGGGCTTCTCGGGGAAGTTCTTCCACGCAGGTGAGTGAAAACCACACAAGATCAGCTTTTGAGGAGTCTTGATTTGATGAATGTCTGTATTGTAGTAATGGGAATGTATTGGTATTAATTTTGAAATGTATACATTCATTTTATTTTAAATAAATATTTATATATCAATATTTAAATCCATAATTAATTACAAAATTAATACCAATACATTCCCTAATTTATAGACACACACACATAATTAATTATATAATTATATAACATATTAAATAATGTATTTATATATACCTTTTTATACATTCATACATGATTTATATCTATAAATTTATAATTTAAAATGTATATAATTATGTGTGTGTAAAATAAAAAATAAAAAACTGTATAATTTAACATATATATATATATATACATACATATATATGGGATGTGCATCTCCATGTCTGAGGCCGATACGATATGCATCTCGATGCATAGCCTACGATATATTAAAGATGCATATAATGAAGCAGCTTGCGATGCGATACGATTCACCCCTATTACGATGCAGTGCGATCCGATTCGATTCAACACAATGCGATTCGATGCAATATAATGCAATGGAAAAAATATGATCACTTCTAATGCCTCGAGGCCTGTTTCATAAAACAAGTTTACCAAATAAGCCAGGCTTATTTCAGTTAGTCTGACTCATTGTCAAATGATTTGGTTCCATAAAGCAAATTTAACATAAGCCTAGATCAAGCTTAGTCACTGTGGCAACTTATGCTGGGAAACTAACCTGGTCTAAAGCAGGCTAACTGTCAGGCTAAGCGGAGTTCCTCTACTGACCAATAGGAACATAATGATATTACCACCATCTCACATACTATTATTTGACTTTTTTTTTACTAGCCATGCAGCCTTTCTCTCTGGTTTTATGACAGCTGTACCTTTTATAGTTTGCAGAACAGATAGCAGAACATTACAATCTAAAATTGCTCTGTAAAGCATTAAAATAACTAGATTAAAAGTTAAAATCACTGAATTAAAAATTAAAATAAATAATTACTATATTTTAACTGGTATAAGAAACACACATTCACTCATTTGAGCTTAGTAATTAGGATTGTGCTAGTTTAGGAAGTCGTGCTAGGAAGTCTGTGCTAGGAAGTCGTGGCCTAATGGTTAGAGAGTCGGACTCGTAACCCAAAGGTTGCGGGTTCGAGTCTCGTACCGGCAGGGATTGTAGGTGGGGGGAGTGAATGTACAGCGCTCCCTAAGTGTGCATGCGCGCAGAAGCGCTCGTTCACTCGCGTTAGCCTCGCCCACTCCTGACAGCAAAATGGATATATTCGCGTGACTTTCTGACATTTACAGATGAAAAATATACCTGTGACATGTCAATTATGCACACAACGTCTCAAATGCATTAAACAGCAAAGATATATTCGCTGTTTGTCATGGTGGATCGATTAGATCCATGATCGACAAAAAGCTGCTTAAAAAAAACGTGCACAAATTAGTGAGATTGTGTGAAATCAATTTGTCGTTTATGGAACCACTTTAGCCACGATTGATTTGTTAGGTTATTTCAGGTCAGGTTTTGGACTTTAACCCCAGTTTTTCCTCGGGTCTCCGTTGTGTTGTTGTGATATGTCATATTCACGCAGCAGCAGCGGTGATGAGAGAACACGCTTGAGAAACAGTTTAGAGAGGAGAAATCAATCTACATATAAAATATTGGTCACTTTCTAAACAATAAAAGTATAGCGCATCCACTAGTAATTATATATAAATAAATCATTTTTTGCCGATGCAAAAATTAAACCATTTCACTTTTTTTTTTTTTTTAATTGTTATATATTTGAATAAATGTGTCAGGTACTGATGAGGAGGATCGGGGTGATGATCTGCTGCTATCGTATGTTGATGAGTTCTGGTGGTTTCCTCACATGTGGAGTCACATGCAGCCGCACCGCTTCCATAACCAGAGTGTGTTAGCAGAGCAGATGATGCTGAACCGACGCTTCGCTGAGGTCAGACGCGCACACACACACACACACACACACACACACACAGAGAGGTCTGGAGTGATGTTTCATCGGGTGTTTGTCTTGTAGGATCACTCCATCCCGACTCATCTGGGTTATGCGGTGGCTCCTCATCACTCCGGCGTGTATCCCGTCCACATCCAGCTGTACGAGGCCTGGAAGCGCGTGTGGGACATCAGAGTGACCAGCACTGAGGAGTATCCACACCTCAAACCCGCTCGATTCAGACGCGGATTCATTCACCGTGGTATCAGAGTGAGTGTGTGTGTGTGTGTGTGTGTGTGTAAATTCTGAAAGCTGTTGAAAGTTTTCTAGAGGAACCACACTAAAGTGTCCGCTTGAGGGTCTGTGATTCGGTTCCATTCATAGTGTTTTTGCATTAAAAATTCAGTGAGAGAATCGAACAGAATATGCATGAAAACCCCATTAATTATATAAACACTCATTATGCGCTTTCATATGTAAATGTGTGTCAGAGGTTGAATAGTTTTTAAAATGATACTGTACCTTAAGCCACTTTTTCACTGCATAAACAGTCACATTTTATCTGCTGACAGTCTGATCTCTTAAATCGTTCATGAAGTGCAACAGCAAGAGCATTAATCCCCTCCACTTATTCACTAATCGGTGAATATTTATCCACACAGGACAAATGACCTGCAAAATATTTAAAGGAAAAATATGATGGTTTAAATAAGTGCGCATCAATGTAAATAATTATTTTGTAATTTGTAAAATAATTCTGAAATAATTGTATCATTATTTTATATTTAATAATTGTGACCCTGGAGCACAAAACCAATCTTAAGTCGCTTGGGTATATTCACTTATTTATTACAGATGATGTATAAATCTCAGTTTCAAAAAATTTACCCTTATGACTGGTTTTGTGGTCCAGGGTCACAATTTTTTTAAGCATTTTATTAAACATTATTACATATGTTTAATAATTATTATACAAAATATAAAATAATGAAATAGCTGAAATAATTATGTAATTTCTATTTTTAAAAATATAAAATAAAAATTAACTATTAAAATAGTTATTAAATAATATAAAATAATTGTAAAATAGTTATGAAATATTAAATCTAAAATAATTATCGGGTTTTCCAGTGCTTATAAGTGCAAATAGTAATTTTCATAAAATAATGTAATGAAATTTTTTTTTTTAAATAATTGATTCATAATCGAAATAATTGACAAATTATAAAATACAAAATTACATATTTAATATTATTTCATAATTACGTTAAAGTAATATGATAGTTATTTTATATTTCATAATATTTCATAATTAGTATTATTTAATAATTGCTTAAATAATGCTTAAATAATTATGCAGTAATTATAAAATATAAATTAACTATAAAATAATTATGGAAGAATATTAAAATATAAAATAATTAAAAATAATTGCTTCCCACTTCATAACCAGCCATTCTACAGAAATACTGCTTAAAGCAATACATTTTATTGGAATTTTATTGAATCATAGTCACCTCACACAGTTTTGATTCAAAGATTTTTAATAAATGCACCACATCCAATTGGATGCCTGCATCTCACTAACTGCAGCAGCTAAAATATGTTATATTAATGTATGTGTATATATATATAATATATATTAATGCACTCGGAACTCAGATCTGATTCAAATATTATACATACGCAGCTCCCGTGGAACTCTCCAATGGAAATCAATGACTTTCAGTCTCTTCCCTATCATTTGCCAGAGCTTTAAAATCAGCACTCGAAACGCTGTAAGAACAGCTACTCGCCTCGTAACAGTCAAAGCTGTTCGTCTCATGTACACACCAACACTTAAAAACACAGCCCCTGAACTGAGAGTGAAACCTGTCCCTCCGTCTCATTCCCTGTTTGAGTTGTCCTTTATTTCAGGAGCAGATTAATATTTCGCTCACTCTCTTTCATTGATTCTCTAATGAGTTTGAGCTCCTGAGTTCAGTGTAAGATGTTATGAATATTACATTAGCTCACGTCTATTTATTTCCAGAGAGACAGGCGCTGTCCTGGAGCCCATGAGAAGTGTGTGTGTGTGTGTGTGTGTGTGTGTGTGTGTGTGTCAGGCAGTGTGAATGGAGAACTGATCATGTGTGTGTGTGTATTGCTCAGGTTTTGCCCAGGCAGACGTGCGGTCTGTTCACACACACCATCTTTCATAAGGACTATCCCGGCGGGCCGCAGGAGCTGGAGCGGATCATTGACGGAGGGGAGCTGTTCCTCACCGTCCTGCTCAACCCCGTCAGTCCCTCTTTACATACTCTATACATCAACTTATGCTGTGCTTAGGATCTTACTGTCAGTAGAACTGGGAGATATAGCTATCAAAAATAGGTTTATATTTTTCAGCCGTTTGATGAGATTCTGTAAATATCTTAATATGTATATATTTGACCTGATATTACTTAAAAGGGTGTTTTAGTTTTTTTCCAATAAGAGAAACATCAGTGTAGGCTATATTCTAGATTCATAAAAATAAAATACAGTACAAGTTTAGTTAATAAATGAAAAGACTTGTTGAAATCCAGAAAGAATGATATTTTTCCTCCAACCTTCATGAAAATACAAGTAGGTAAATAATGTGTCTTACTAATACTCGTTTCATTGGTCTGTAAATAATATGAAATAATTATAAATAAATAATTATGAATGATAAAAATAACTGAAATAATTTTGCAATTATAAAAAAGTATTGTTTTAATATTTATATAATTATAACATTTATTAATTATGAAATGATCTAAAATATAAAATAATTATTACATATAAAATAATTATGAAATAATATTCAATATAAAATAATAAGGATGTAATTGTTTCACACTTTATTATTATTCATAACTGGCCACTGACAAAGAAACAAGTTTTGAAAAATGTTGATGTTGTAATCAAGACATGTTTTTAATAAATGAACTCAAGGAAGAATGATATTTAATCATTTTATTGATATAGACCAATGAAACAAATATTAATTTTTTTGAAACAAAACATTATTTACCTACTTGTATTTTCATCAAAGTACAATGAGTGAATAATGAATTCATATTTAAGCAGATAAGACAAATGATCTGCAAAAATTTGAAGGAAAAAAATGATGGGTTTTTCAGGGCTTATCAATGTAATTCGTTATTTCATAAATATGAATATATTATAGATAGTTTATATGTAATAATTATTTTAGAATTATGAAAAAATATATAACATAACATTTATTTTGAATTAATAAATAATTATAAAATAACTTAAATCAATATGCAATTATAAAAATAACTATTTTAATGGTTAATTTATATTTTGTATTTGTCATCATTATTTAATATTATTTAATATTTATAAAATATTAAATAATTATGAAATAACTGTAAATATAAAACAATTACAAAATAATTGTTTCAGGCTTATTTCTATTTATATCTAGCCAGAAATACTGCTTAAAGAAACAAGTTTTATTTAAATTTGTTGTTG